AAGGGAGGGAAATGCACGGGATTATGGTGGTGGCACAGGGGTGATTTGGTAATGGGAAACCCGCGGGGATTACAATCGAGATGGAAAAAAAAATGTGCAAAATGATGTAAAAATAAACTTTGTAATAAAAAAAAAAGACAAAAAACTAGTGAGATTACTTTTTCTATTATGTATGTAAACCTTTCCACCATGACACCAGCAGTTCAGTGACTTCTGATAAGAGGTTTTTTAACAGCAAAATTATTACTACATATGTTGGAGTGACATAACAAAAAGTTACAAAAAGGAAGAAAACTTTTGACACCTTGAAAAGATATTATATAGTAGTTAGAAAAACATGCAACACATTTTTGTAATATTTGTTACAGAAGAAAATTAGGAGGTCTGTTCTTACCTGCTTAAAAAGTTGGAGGTTAACTGCAGTTTCCAAGAACTGTTTCATCAGACTTGAGCGGTGTTTTACAAAACTTTCCTCACAGAAAGTGATAGGCTCACCCTATGTAAAAATAAAGAATTTCAGGATGTCAGTAAAATGTCAGAAATGACCAATTCTTCTAAAGAGGCACATGTAAAGTCTTTGAGGAAACGTAAGCCAAAATCAATTTCCAGGTGTTTAAAGTCTAAAGAAAGGGAGTCATTTTAACAAAATAGCTGGATTTCAGACTAGTGTATGTATTTTGCTTCTGACAAGCTCTACAATTACTTCTTATTCAAGATTCCTTTAGATTCCTAAAATTGCTGAGTTTCAATCCCTCAGTTTCATCTACTAAATTAATCCTTTGGAATAAGTCCTATAAAAACAAAGATTTAATATCAGTTAGTTGAGTATTAAAAATAGCATGCATACTTAAAAAATTGCAACAATTTATATTTTCATCCTGCCTGAATTTTTGCAATAAAAATTATTCCTATTTACTATAACTTTGTTGTATAATTTGAAGTCTGCAAGTGTAATTCTCCTATTTTTGCCAGATTATCTTTAGTTATTGGAAGTCTTTTGTGGTTCCAAACAAATTTCAGCAATGTTTGCTCTGTTTCCTTGAACTATTGGACATATAAGACTACTTGCATTAAACTTGTGTATTACTTTAGGTCAGATGGCCATTTAAATAATGTGATTCTTCCAATTCATGCACATGGAATAACATTCTGCTTCCTTCTGTCTTTTATTTATTTAAAAGGTGGTCTCTCTAGTTTTGGTTGGAGAAGTCACTCTCCATCTTTGTTAATTCCTAGGTACTTAATTCTTTTAGATGTGACTGCTAATGGTTTCTTGGCATCTTTCTTGACTAGTTCATTGTCTGCATGCAGGAAAAAAGGAGAGTTCTGTTTATTGATTTTTAAGGCCCACAACTTCATTGTATTGATTCGTTGTTCCTAATATTTAGGCTTTTGTACGTATATTTCTCTAAGCTAGCACTTCCAACGATAATGTGTACATGTACATGGAAAACCTAACCTTGGAGGAAAAGGTCTGTTTCTACCTGAGCATGATATAAACTATAGGCTTATTCGATACCACTGTTATTTTATGTTGAAGTATGTTCATTCTATCTCCCTTTTGTGAGAGTTTTTTTTTAATGGATGTTTGAACTTGTTGAATGTTTTTTCTGTATCTATTGATTTGTACTGATGTCTTTTTTTATTGATGTGGGGGTTATATTAATTGATTTGTGAATAATAGACTGTCCTTGTGTCCCTAGAATAAATTCACTTGGTCATAGTGTATGATGTTTTTAATATATTGTTGAATTTGGTTCTCTAAGATCTTGCTGAGGAATTTAACATCTATGTTCATCTAGAATATTGGTTTAGACTTTTCTTTTTTTGTTATGCCTGCATTTGGAGTCACGGTAATATTGATCAATATGTATTTCTTTGATTTTTTTAAGACTTAGAACAGGTATTTTTCACCTTTGAAAGTTTGGTAGAATTCACTAGTGAAAGTGATTGTGTCCTTTACTCATGTTTTGGAAGATTTTTGATTACTAATTTCCTTGCTGATAATTATCAGCCTGTTCAATTTTTTTTTCTATTTCTTTCTGATTCAATATTTGGACATTATATGATTTTAAGAATTTTTTCACCTTCTCTAGAGTTTCCAAATTATTGACATATAGATATTCACAATAATCTTACAATCCTCTGCATTTCTGTGATATAAGTTGTAACTTCTCTTTCATTTTGATTTTAGTTATAAGAGTTTTCTTCTTAGTGAGCCTTCCTAGTGGTCAGGCTTCAAAGATAAGGCATATCTTATACCTTTTATCTTGTATTAATGATAGGGAATATTCTCTGTCTTTTGAAGAATCAGCAATTGTTTTCATTGACTTTTTTTGAATAATACTTTTCATTTCAGCTTAATTTCATTTTAATTTTTACTGTTTTCTTCCTTCTGGAATTTGATTTTTCTTCTCTTTCTAATTCCTTAGTGTATAAATTCAGATTGTTATTTGAGCTTATTCTTCTTTCTGCCTATAGCACTATATTGCCCTAAAAGTCTCTCTCTTACTACTGCTTTTACTGTATTTTTTAGGTTCTGAATTAAAGCAGACACACAGATCAATGGAGTAGAATTAACAGTCAGGACATAAATCCATATTTAAATGGATAATTAACTTACAACAAAGGAGCCAAGAACATGGAAAAAGAAGTCTATTCACCAAATGGTGTGAGCAAAATTGGACAGTCACATGTAAAACAATGAAACATATACCACTATCTTACAGCATACACATATTAACTCAAAATGGATTAAAGGTTGGATGTAAGAATGAAAGCCTAGATACATAGGATAAAACATAGGCAGAACATTTCACAACCTTGCCTGCAGTGATTTATTTAGAGACTCAACTCCAACAGTAAGGGAAACAAAAGCAAAAATAAACACATGGGACAGCTAAAGTTTCTGTATAGCAAAATAAACTATCATAATATTAGTATACTCTAACAACTGAAATAAACATTTTGCAGATCATATATCCAATCAGACCCTAATATCTAACATCTAAAAACAACTCATACATCTCAACAATAAGAAAATAATTAACAATATTCAAAAATGGCCAGAAGAGTTAAACAGATATTTCTCCAGAGTTAAACAGCCAGAAAAGTTTAATAGACAGTTAAATAGAAAGCATACAGATGATCAATAGGCATATGAAAAAATGTTTCTCATCACTTACCATCAGGGAAATACAAATCAAACCACAATGAGATGCTACCTCATAACTGTGAGAAAGGCCCATATCAACAAGACAAACACAAATGTTGATGAGGATATGGAGAAAAGGAACCTTTTTTACACTCTCAGAGGGAAAGCAAACTAGTTTAGTTTTTATGGGAAACAATATAGAGGTTTTGCAAAATATTATATCTGGATCTAACAGATGGTCTAGCAATCCCTCTGGTAGATATCTACCCAAAGAATGCAAAAACTCAATTTTGAAGAGATACACATGCCTATGTGTATAAATAAATTCTAAGATAATTGCTCACTATTTGCAATATTCAAGCTATGGAAGTAATAAAGTGCCTAACCAAAAATGAATGAATAAAGGAGATGTGGTGTATGGTGTACACACACACACACACATACACACACACTCCTTGCCATTTGCTACAACATGGATGTTACTGGAGTGAATTATGCTAATAAGCAAAGTTAAGTGAGAAGGAGAAAGACAAATACTGGGTGAGTTCACTGATCTATAATGTTTAAAAAAAGGGAAAGGAATAGGAAGAAAGAAAACAAAACTCTTGAAATTTGACCGCAAAGGTGAGGCTATCAGAGAGGAGCATGGCGTTGAGCATCAAGTAGCCAAGTGAACCAATGGAATATAACAGAGGATTATTACGGCTTGATTCTAGGAATGGTGTGATAATATATGCTGGTAGTTGTTAACCCATACTTTTAAAATATGAACAGTGTACAAGTCAATGTTACATCAATAAGCACAATTCAAAAATAACTGCTCCTGATTTTTACCATATTACATTAGGTTTGATATTAATTTTTAATTAAAAGGTGTTGATAATCAAAATTTCATTATTGTACTACAATCTGATTAGATACTTTCCAGGATAATTCCTACCTTTAATCTGCTTTAATGTATGGTAATTGTTAAGTAACATTATATCTACAAGTATCTCATGTTTGCTTATATCCCATGAGATAACCTCCCTTCAAGTCAGCAAAGATTTCCAAATTTTGACTTTTTCTTCACGTAAAACTGTCACACACTGATTGACTACTACCACCTCCTATTTCTCCCATCAACCTGAATGGTCCTCTTGCCCATTTAAAGCATAAAAAGTTAAATGATTGATCTTTATGATCAAAATGAAATAAGACTAGTACCAAAGATTTATTCATTGTACTGACTCTAATACCAAGCTCTATGTTATTGGGAATAGGAGAAATGTAGCCTGTTCACTTTCAATAGAACTGTTACAGGAATCTCTATGTTATAATGAATAGAAAACTGCAGTCTATTCACTTTCAAGAGAACTTTGAAAAAACATTATTGTAATTTAACTTTAAAAAATATAATTTGTTGATTATAGATATTTCTAAGTATAGATCTGAATAATGAAGCTAATAATCTGCGTAACTCAACTTCTCTGATGGAATTAATACTATAAATTGCACTATTAAATACAGCTGTCATTAGTCACATATCATTATTTAAATTTATTAAAAATATATAAAAGTAAAAATTTGGTGCCAAAGTTGCAGTACACACATTTGAGTCAGATAGTGTTACATATCACAGACATATTTTCTTGTATCACAAAATATGCTATTGAAGGACATTTAGTAGAGAAGACAATAACAAATGTCATTATCATTAATCACCTGCCCATGATTCATTATAAATGTCATTATATATTTTATACTAATTATTACCATTCATAAATACTATAACATTTAAAACACATATTGTAAAACCTGTATTAGTTTACAGAAGCGCATTTTGGATAATCAAAAATACCCTGTATTTACAAGTATAATAGAACTTATGCTTTAAAAATAGGGGGGGGAACCCCAACAAAATAGGAAATCATAGTAAAGATAAACAGCTGTAGATTTTGGAGTCCCTAGACTTTTAAATACCAGCTGCAGTGGGAACCTAGTAAATGTTTTATAAATGAATAAAAGAAGTAGTCCATATGCTTAAGCTCCACTCCATCTGACTTACTGTATTTTCAAAAGCAAATAGAAACTTTAAAAGTAAGTAAAATCATTGCCTTTCATGAGATATCAAACTACTTCATTGATATTACTAATTGATCACTAATAATAATAATTTTAGTTTTAGTTGACAGATTTTTTTTCCCTCTCTGTGGGGTCAGTCTCCTCAAAAGCTTCTTCCAGCAAGTGTCAACTTGGTATGGGAAACAAAAGACCATTCATGACCCTGTGAGCCTCAGAAGACTACCCATTTCCTAAAAAATGCAGATAATTTTAAGTTAAATGCAATAAAGGTCTAGAAG